ACCTACAAACTTGCAGAGAGAAAATATAGAAAGATAGATACATCCCTAGATAGGGCCCTTTTTTATTCTGCTTTACGTAAAAAGAACCCCATAGCCTTCAAGCTCTTCTTAATTTTCTCCCCGTGCAGTAATTTTCTCGAGAGAATGGACATTAGAATATTAGTCTTATGATAGAGGGTCGGCTTTTTTCACGGTCAATCTATTCCGCGAGCCAACAATTTGGTTAACAAGGCCGCTGATGTTGGCAGCGTAATTGTAGCAAATACAGTGAAAATAATTGCATGCCGTGTCCATTTCTTGTAATTTTTCCTTGTTGTTATGTTGCATAAGAACATTCACAGGAGACCTGTATCAAAGGAAACGGAAAAAAAATAGTTCCAAAGAAAGAAAGAAAGAAAGAAAGAAAGAAAGAAAGAAAGAAAGAAAAAGAAAGGAAGAAAAAGAAAGAAATTGAAATAATAGTAATTGTAATGTCAGAGAGAAAGAAGAAAAAATATGATAATAGAGGGAAAAAGAAAGAAAGAAAGAAAGAAAGAAAGAAAGAAAGAAAGAAAGAAAGAAAGAAAGAAATTGAAATAATAGTAATTGTAATGTCAGAGAGAAAGAAGAAAAATATGATAATGGAGGGAAAAAGAAAGAAAGAAAGAAAGAAAGAAAGAAAGAAAGAAAGAAAGAAAGAAATTAGAAAATACTGGAAAAGTGAAGAATGAAAAATATGAGAAAAAATTTTAGGAGGAGATCTGTAATACTGAAAATACGAAAAATGGTGAAAAAATTAAAATAAAGGATGAAATCGACGATAGGGCAAGTAAATTATGAGAAGATAAAGAGAGAAGAAAGAAAGAAAGAAAGAAAGAAAGAAATGTGTGTTGAACGAACGAAAAAACTGAAGAAAAATGTGAATAAATAAATAAAGAAAATAGAAGACAAAATATTAAAACGCGTAAAAAAACACGAGAAAAATAAAATTACGTGTGAGATAGATAAAGAGAAGAAAATTATTTAAAAAAGAAAGAAAGAAAGAATAAAGGAAAAAAAAAACCTATAAATAATGAATAAAGAGATTAAAGAAAGAAAGAATAAAGGAAAGAAAGAGAATAAAGAAGGAATAAAGAAATCAAAAAAGAATGAAAATAAAAACCATAGAAAAAGGGAGAGAAAAGTGCGAATGAAAGCTAAAGGGTCTAAAGAAAATAAAAATTGAACAACAGAAAGAAGTCAAGAAATGGATAATTTTATTAAGTATTTCACCCCAAGTAAGGCAGAGGTGCCACTTGCACACATGGGTTTACAGAGAGTGAGAGCAATAGAAAGAGGGGGGTTTGAAGAAAGGATATAGAGAAGGACGGAGATCAGGATCAAGACAACAGAAGATATCGATTGACATTACATTTGAATATTTGAACATTATAACGATTAGAATAGCAAGTAAGATGAATGGAGTTCCACGGACTGAAAGTGCGAGATAAGAAGCTGTTGAAGTAGAAGAGACGGTTATATTTAACTGTTTCGACAGTGAAAATGTGGGACCATGATGACAGCCTAGTAGGACGCTTTTATTCATGCAGGTGGGGCACCAGTGACAGTACCTCGTAAGAGCAGTTGGCATGAAATTATTTGTAGAAAAAATAGAGGAATATCACAGCATGGCTGTGAGATCATGACTGTCGACGAGATGCCAGATCAGGACCTATGATATTGCATATTTCTCTGGATTTTATATGAGCATAGAAATGATTCTAGGGAATGAGGAGTAAGAATAGAATGAAAAGAAAAAAAAGAAAGAAAGATAGAGAAGTATCGTTTAAAAGTAAAAGAAGGAAAACCTTTAAATTGCTTGGAGGAAGAGATTTGTCAAATATCAGCTAAAAAGTAAATGTAGAAACAAAATGATAAAAAGAGAAAAAATAGAAATATATTCATGCATAAATAAAAAAAAATCAACGAAGAAATATGAGAGAATGACGTAAAAAAAGAACATTATAAAATGATTTAACCAGAACAATAAATAAATACAATATATGAATAAAGAAAAAAGAGATGAAACGAATAATGAATAAAGAGAAAAATAAAAAAAATGATGAATGAAAGAGAAAACAAGAAAAAAAAGTAAAAAAATGAAAATAAAAGAGAAAAACAAGAAAAAGAGAGTAAAAAAAATAATGAATGAAATAGAAAACAAAAAAGAGAGTAAAAAAAAATGAATGAAAAGAAACAAGAAAAAAAAGAAGTAAAAAATAATGAATGAATGAGAAAAACAAGAAAAAAGAGAATAAAAAAACAATGAATGAAAAAGAAAAAACAAAAAAAAGAGAATAAAAAATAATGAATGAAAGAGAAAACAAGAAAAAGAGGAAAAAATAATGAATGAAAGAGAAAACAAGAAAAAAAGAGAGTAAAAAAATAATGAATGAAAAGAAAAACAAGAAAAAAAAGTAAAAAAATAATGAATGAAAGAGAAAAACAAGAAAAAGAGAAAAAAAAATAATGAATGAGGAAATCAAGAAAAAAAGAGAATAAAAAAACAATGAATGAAAGAGAAAACAAGAATTGAATGAATGATAGAAAACAAGAAAAAAACATTAAAAAAATAATGAATGAAAGAGAAAACAAAAGAAAATGAAGGAAAAAAATAATGAATGAAAGAGAAAAACAAGAAAAAGAGAGTAAAAAAATAATGAATGAAAGAGAAAACAAGAAAAAAGAGAGTAAAAAAAATAATGAATGAAAGAGAAAACAAGAAAAAAGAGAGTAAAAAAAATAATGAATGAAATAGAAAACAAGAAAAAAGAGAGTAAAAAAATAATGAATGAAAGAGAAAGCAAGAAAAAAGAGAGTAAAAAATAATGAATGAATGAGAAAACAAGAAAAAAGAGAATAAAAAACAATGAATGAAAGAGAAAACAAGAAAAAAGAGAATAAAAAATAATGAATGAAAGAGAAAACAAGAAAAAAGAGAGAAAAAATAATGAATGAAAGGAAAACAAGAAAAAAGAGAGTAAAAAAAAACAATGTCGAAAGAGAAAACAAGAAAAAAGAGAATAAAAAATAATGAATGAAAGAGAAAACAAGAAAAAAGAGAGTGAAAAAATAATGAATGAAAGAGAAAACAAGAAAAAAGAGAGTAAAAAATAATGAATGAAAGAGAAAACAAGAAAAAAGAGTAAAAAATAATGAATGAAAGAGAAAACAAGAAAAAAGAGAGTAAAAAACAATGAATGAAAGAGAAAACAAGAAAAAAGAGAATAAAAAATAATGAATGAAAGAGAAAACAAGAAAAAAGAGAGTGAAAAAATAATGAATGAAAGAGAAAACAAGAAAAAAGAGAGTAAAAAATAATGAATGAATGAGAAAACAAGAAAAAAAGAGTAAAAAATAATGAATGAAAGAGAAAAACAAGAAAATGAGAGTGAAAAAAATAATGAATGAATGAGAAAAACAAAAAAAGAGAATAAAAAACAATGAATGAAAAAAAGAAAACAAGAAAAAGAGAATAAAAAATAATGAATGATAGAGAAAAACAAAAAAAGAGATTAAAAAAATAATGAATGAAAAAAAACAAGAAAAAGAGAGTAAAAAAAATAATGAATGAAAGAGAAAAAAAAAAAGAGAGTAAAAAAATAATGAATGAAAAGAAAAAAGAAAAAAAAGAGTAAAAAAATAATGAATGAAAGAGAAAAAGAAAAAGATAAAAAAAATGAAAATGAGAAAACAAGAAAAAAAAGAGAAAAAAAACAATGAATGAAAGAGAAAACAAGAAAAAAAGAGAATAAAAAAATAATGAATGAAAGAGAAAACAAAAAAAAAGATTGAAAAATAAAAAAAATAGAGTAAAAAAACAATGAATGAAAGAGAAAACAAGAAAAAAGAGAATAAAAAATAATGAATGAAAGAGAAAACAAGAAAAAGAGAGGAAAAAATAATGAATGAAAAGAAAAAAAAAAAAAAAGAGAGTAAAAAATAATGAATGAAAGAGAAAAACAAGAAAAAAAATAATTAAAAAAGAGAAAACAAGAAAAAAATAATGAAAAAATAATGAATGAAAAGAAAACAAGAAAAAAGAGAATAAAAAACAATGATTGAAAGAGAAAACAAGAAAAAAGAGAGTAAAAAATAATGAATGATAGAGAAAAACAAGAAAAAAGAGAGTAAAAAAAATAATGAATGAAAGAGAAAACAAGAAAAAAGAGAATAAAAAAATAATGAAAAAAACAAGAAAAAAGAGAGTGAAAAAATAATGAATGAAAGAGAAAACAAGAAAAAAGAGAATAAAAAACAATGAATGAAAGAGAAAACAAGAAAAAAGAGAGTAAAAAATAATGAATGATAGAGAAAAACAAGAAAAAAGAGAGTAAAAAAAATAATAAATGAAAGAGAAAACAAGAAAAAAGAGAGTAAAAAAAATAATAAATGAAAGAGAAAACAAGAAAAAAGAGAGTAAAAAAAATAATGAATGAAAGAGAAAACAAGAAAAAAGAGAGTAAAAAAATAATGAATGAAAGAGAAAACAAGAAAAAGAGAGTAAAAAAAATAATGAATGAAAGAGAAAACAAGAAAAAGAGAGTAAAAAAAATAATGAATGAAAGAGAAAACAAGAAAAAAGAGAGTAAAAAAATAATGAATGAAAAGAAAAACAAGAAAAAAGAATGAAAAATAAAATGAAAGAGAAAAAAGAAAAAAAGAGAAAAAAAAACAATGATTGAAAGAGAAAACAAAAAAAAAAGAGTAAAAAAAAATAATGAATGATAGAAAAAAACAAGAAAAAAAAAAAAAAAATAAAATGAAAGAGAAAACAAGAAAAAAAAGAGTAAAAAAAAAACGAATGAAAAGAAAACAAGAAAAAGAGAGTAAAAAAATAATGAATGAAAGAGAAAACAAGAAAAAGAGAGTAAAAAAATAATGAATGAAAGAGAAAACAAGAAAAAGAGAGTAAAAAAAATAATGAATGAAAGAGAAAACAAGAAAAAGAGAGTAAAAAAAGAAACGAAAATGAAAGTAGGAATGGTGAATGAATTTGTAAAAAATGTGTATAACAGAAAGGATAAACTGAAAAACAAAAGGAATACATTTAATGTGTGTGAAAAATGAACAATGGAATAAAACAGTAGCGTAAGAAGAGAACACAAAAATGGAAAAGTAAGATAGAACGGGAAAAGACGATAAACGATGGAAAAGAAAGAGATACAAATGTTAAAAGAAATTGAGGATCTTCTTTCAAATAAAGGTGTAAAACAAAAATAAAGAATAATGATGAAATAAAAGGAGAAAAAAAGAACGAGAGAAAAAGAAAACAGGTAAGCAATAATAAGAGAAAGCAGAATAAAAAAAAGTAAAGAAAGAATGGTGAATGTAGCGAACAGAGAAACGTCAAAACCATAGAGACAAACATCTTGAAAAATGGCGGGAATATGTGAAGAAAAAAAATGGCGGACCCATTGATTGAAATGGCAGAAACTACATAAAAACAGGAAAATATGAAGCGTAAGTAAATGATTAGAAGATAGAATGAAGGAGAATGGTTAATAAAGTAGAAAATAACAAACGAGACATTTTTCCGAACGAGAAAATACATAATAGATTAGCAGATAGACCGTTAAAAAGTAATTATAGTGATAAAACATATGGGCGCCTCTTGTACGTAGATGTTTAGCAAGCTCGTGTGGAACGCTAACTTGTAAGGAGTTCGCGCCACGTGTGAGAAGTTTGTGATCACCGAGTTTTTCAAAAGTATTTTCGGTGTATATTTTTCTTCTGAAATAAAGTGTTTCACAATGCATTTTTTCCAGCTGAATCTTCCATTGAATAGAACTATTTCGACAGTAAGTCTGATCTGTTCGATGAGGTCAAATTTGTAGCTGATCTAAATAAAAAAGGACCTACACAGTCTATTGTTTGCTGGGACATGGAATGGCGTATTAATTTTCTCGCCTTCAAAACGAAACCTCTCCCTATAAATCACCCGAAACACCTGACTAATCATCATCCCCCATACTCATTTCTATCCTCATATAAAATCCAGAGACGGATATGCAATGCAATAGGTCCTGATCTGGCATCTCGTCTACAATCGCTCTCTCACAGGTGTGATGTGGTTTCCTTCTGTCTTTTCTACATTAGCGTGGCAACTGCTCTGACAAGCTACTATCACTGGTTCCCAAACTGCATGAATTTAATTGTGCTACTAGTTTAGCATCTCGATCCCACCCTTTCACTGCCGAAACGGATAAATGTAGTCCTGTCTTCTTCTCCAACAGCTTCTTTTCTCGCACTACCCGACAGTTAATACTCCGTTCCTCTTACTTGTTTTCCTGATAGCTATAATGTTCAAATATTCAAATGTAATGTCAATCGACATCTTCTGATCCAATGATGATACTAACCTACATGACAATGATTCGTTGCGCCTTTTTGGGCTTACATGGATTTTTTTTCCTAAGGCGATGGCGAGGATATTTGTGAAAATTTAACGTCGTTTTTAACACCATTGGGATCCGCTTAAAAGCGGAAATATCTTAACTCATGAAAGCCTAATGTAAAATCTGGTATTGCTTATCGGAATTGAAATAAATAATCTTCGAATAATTTACGGCTTCCAATAAAAATATTGTGTTTATTAACGTTTTATAAGAAATCCACTTGATATCGCTAACAAAGAATGGCCGGTATTTTTTTTTTCATAGACTATTGTTTTATAACTTATGCTAGACTAGGCCATTTTATAGCCACGAATAATCTAGAACAACAATAGACCCAAGCCCGTTTGTTGCGGGTTCTATGGGGATATTTTTAGCCGAGCCTACGGTCTCGGAGAACCCACAGTAAACTCGGCACACATTCCCTATGTAATAAAATGTGCTTTTGTGTCTACAGATTGTAGACGGTACTATGGCTCATAAAAAGTCAAACGATCCCTGCAGAGATATCTTGTGTATATTCTACATTTCTTCATTCATCCAATACTCTTACATTGCTTTGCTTATTAGTCGGCATTAATCTTGGATGTCTGTTGACTTTGGTCAAAATGTTTGAAAAATAGTCAATTATGGTTATTGACCATTGTTATTTTGAGTGTCGCCTACAGACCACCCTTGATTTTATTATGGAAAATTTTTTATCCTAATTTGATTTTACCCAACAGTAGTGTTAATTTAACAAGTTTAATCCATATATAAAACATAAGATAGATTATTACAATTTGAATCTTACTTATTATAAAACGCAGATTGTGTGTGTGTGTGTGTGTGTGTGTGTGTGTGTGTGTGTGTGTGTGTGTGTGTGTGTGTAACTTTTATATATTGGATCGGATTTCCTACATTTTTCAACCGATTTCAACAAAACCTCACAGGACTACATAAAATTACCTTGTGGTGGTTCTAACAGCGCCAAAAATAGGAAAAATACAATTGTTTTTGCACAAAATGAATTTGAAAACACGATTAAGAAACATCGTGAGAATGAAAGGGGGACAACTCACATCGGGTTGTTTGTGTGTGTGGGTTTCTTTAAATATGAGATCGCATTTCCTACATTATCCAGCCGATAAAAGAAATACACTTTTTTTTTTTGGCAGGTAGTGTTTCTTATTCTCTTACACACATTTTTCTTTATTTTTAATATTCACAATGCTTTAAAAATTCCATTTACAAGACAATTGTTTATAACAAAATTCTATTCAATCGGGAGACTCATAAGGATTGAAAACAATGTTTTTGTTCGAGTTTGGGTTGGACCAATTCGAAAAAAAAAAAACAAATTAAGGCAAGCGTGTCCGTCAAACTTAATAATCTTTGTCAATTTTATTTTTCAGTCTTTATGATGGTCGATACTTCATCTATCTCTTACTGTTATATCCCCGCGCAACGCCGGGCTCTACTGCTAGTCTAATTATAACCGTTTTAATATTGGTAACAAAAGCTTTCATACTAATAGTAAAATTGTGTATAACATGGCTTAGAGGACTACAGTTGAAACAGGACTATTTTATATATTGCTATGTATTAGGCTTGCCACAACCCTGGGGTTTATTGCGGATTAAAATAAACTATAAATAGCTATAATGTGGTAGTGTTTAATCTAAACTGTTCCAGCGGTATTAAATATTGATTTACAAAACTGCTATTCATAATAGGTTTTTACCTAAATATCTTTAATGACTATCGTGCGATTTAGAGGTTATCGGGTATCGTTAGAGATTGCGGAAGATGGTCCGAAATGGGAAATAACATGGGCACGGAGGTAAGACAGTTATTGATTTGCCGTATTGTAAAGTTTTAAATATGAGATCAAAAGTGCAAGATAACGGGGAAAGGGCCGGAAGAAATTTGAACATTCAACTTGCCTCCCGCACCCAGGTTCTTCAGTAATGCTAGCTAACACATAGAAAATTTATAGCTATGGGATCGGCATTTTTCACTGCGGGGCTTTTTCCCCAGCTGTTGAAGTAAAACAAAATATCCGTAGAGAAATCACGGCCATTCCAGTTGATATGCTAACCCGCACTGTGTCTGAAATGAGAAAGCAAAATCTGGCACGTTCTTTTCATTGTGGTGACCACCTCAGGGATGTAACCCTTAGATAATATTTTGAACTCTTTTATGCCAATTATATAATAAGTATATTTAGTACTCTATGAGATCTTTTATCCTGCATGATACTTGCATTTAGTATGTGTCCCGTTATTATGGAAGCGTTAGTCGAAATACCAAGGGTTCATAATGAGGAAAGAAAGCTGAAAACTTTGATACTCACAGGTTGAAGACATCAGGGTCAGAATAAAACAATACATACCTCAACTGTGTAAATGGATGATGGAGCAATGTTTTGGAGAGGTGGCAACAAAACAAATTTCTTTAAGAGCTACAAAAGAGAGAAACTTGTGGATGGCCATGATCACCAACATCCTGACGGGACACGGTATACATGAAAATTATATAATAAGGAGGTGGAAATATAATTTTCATCTATCTGGCATTTAAACAAAAAAAAAACAAACTATTAAATAGACGGTCAAGCATTGATTATAATTCAACCACCTTGAAAGGAAACGCATTAAAAGCTGAGATAGAAATTTGGGAGCTTCTATGTAACGCTCATCCTACTTAGAAAAGTTCTCACTGCTTTATACTCAATAACCTTTCAGATTTCAGGTTTCAGAAAAAAAATTGGTAGAGTATTGATTCAAACAATATACCCGAAAACTAGAAATAATAACAGAAACAACAACAAAAACAACAACAATAATAATAATAATAATAATAATAATAATAATAATATGGAAAGGAAACTGCAAGAAATTGGTATGAACACCACTCAGATCCGGTTACGGAGATAGGACCTCTAAGCAATTTTATGGGACTTTACAATACACACAGAGAGAACAAACAAAGCTAATCACCCAGATATCTTGCTTAGAGACCGTAAAGACAAAATGTGACTTCTTATTAACATGGAAGTCACTGCAGACTGTAATTTATCCTTAAAGATCTTCATGAATCTATCAAAATCCAAGGACATGGCAATCGAAATCTCAAAAAATGTGGCACATGAGTATATAAACAATTCCTGTTCTAGTTGGAGCACATGGTTTGATTGGAAAATATTCCAATAGACTCAATAAAGTGATTCCTGGTAGCCAATGCCTTCTAGAAATACCAAAAAAAAATGTTCTCACAATAACAGCCCACAGGTTACGAATAAAAAATATTCGTGGTTTTGTTTTTCAAAATAGCTCAGTGAAAAATGTCATGATGCCATTTCTGATCTTAAGTCTCTGGTTTGGACCCGAAAAGAAATGAGTACACACCTGAAATCAAAGGAAATAATAATAATAATAATAATAATAATAATAATGAAACCTTTGATAGTGTGCCGCACACGGGGATAAGTAAGAATTTGGAAATCTACAAAGTCTCTTTGGTGATCGTAAATTTCTTTAAATATTGCATAGAACTGCGGAAAACCACATCATACCTAAATCACACCAAAGGTATTAACACTTCCAATAATTTGAATATCCGACGAGGAATACTTCAAGGAGACACGCTGTCGGCTCTTCTATTCTGTCTCTCCTTAATCCCCCTTCTGCGTGAACTAAACAGTAATAACTATGGATAAAACATAAAAAGTGTTTAATCACCTATTCTACATGGATGATATCAAACTCCTTAAATACGTGAATGTGTTGAAGGGTCTCCTTAATAATGTGAAATATTTCAGTGATGATATCGATATGGATTTCGGATTAGATAATTGTGCAAAAGTAACATACTAGAATGAGAGAATTACAAAAACTCTCAATAGATTTAGATTTTGTCATAAAGAATCAGAAACTGGGACAAGAAGAAATCTATACATACCCAAATTAAGGAGAAACTAAGAAAAGAATACGGCAGACTTTTGCGTCTGGTGTTAAGTACCGGGTTGAATTCATAAAACAGAATGTCATCCATAACTACTTTGGGTGTCCATGTGATGCAATACAGTTTCAACGTTCTTAATTGGACCATAGCTGACATTAAGCGGATGGATGTCAAAACGAGAGAGCTTCGCATTTTCCACCACGTGCAGCATACT